GGGTAATTTAAAAATATATAACAAAGAACTAACCAAATCATTGTTTACCCATCTAGCTGTGTTTTAATGCACATATTGTTGAGAAAACTTTCATTTCGTGTAAAGATGCATGATAAAGAGATTCGTAGAACGACCTTACTAGAAGAGGACGACAGAGTACCGTTGTTCTGCACCTTTAGGATGACAAATTAAAAATGATGACTATTTGGCTCTATCCTATATACCATATATATACTCATAAAGACGAAACGATATCAATCTATATCTGTATATTTTCGAATTTAGTAATGCGTATATATGCCATTTAGGATAGAGTTGGATAGCATTCTAGACGTGGTCTTGCAGCTTCTACACGAACGAGTTCCAGCTCTAATGGCGTCTGTCAAGTAGCATGACAGACAAAAGCTCAGCCCGTCTTCATCCAAGATGCGGGAGGATATCTCGTGGACTGCATCAAACTGAATTTCCTATCAAAGCCAAACGGCTACATGAACACGGGTATCGGCCGTCGTATTCTGGTGAGATCTACCTACGAAATGAACTTATTCATAAAAGCACACAATCTTGTTTGTCGTAGCAACGATTTATGAGTAAAGATTGTGAATGTAAAAGCGTGATACAAGGATATAGGATAGGTGAATAGCCCAGGACAGAAGGAGAGGTAGCACAACTGTTTGGCACACATTTGGTAAAAGGGTCGGCTTCACTTATCTCTTTGACGAGTTCTAGTATGGTGCTAAGAGTGGCAGGACTCACTGACGATGCTGGCGGAACGTCTGGGAATGTACCACGTCCACGGTCCGACTTTGGAAGTTATCATGCATGCAATGAACTCCGGAGTAGGTGCTTTCCTCCAAGTTTTCCTAACAAGTTGCGAAAACAAGGTCAAACAACTTCTCTACAACGAAAGGAGACTGCGACTAGGCAAAAGGCCTCACCATCTTGATCTTCATATCTTCGGGTAAAGACGTTCTTTTCGTATGAAAGTCTTTGCATCAATCCTGTCTCAGGAGGTTATTAGAAACCCGCATTTTCTTCGTATATACAAAGATTGTGAATCTGAATGGTAGAGCATTTGCTTAATATGTTTTAATGAGGGCTAGTTGCATCCTCCCACAACTAATTGACTCGGCAGATAGAATAGCTTGGCAACTTGGTCGTACCGGAAACTGAAGGAGGAATAATCGTCTTGAAGTTATGACTACTGGATCGTGCGAAGAATACGCTGGGTCGCAGGATGATGAGGTTATGGTGTCTTCGCACAATCCCTCCTTCAGTTTTCGATAAGGTAAATTTTCCAATCCCATCCATCTGCCCTCTTAAATGAAATGAGGGGTACACCAACATCACTCTACTTCAAAACCAAGCTTCTCTTTCTTGGTTAGCATGGAAATTAATCTGCATTTTCTACTGCGAAATGACTCTAAGGGCTTAAATGCAAATGGTGAATGTCAGAAGCAGAATAGGCCTCCGTATTTGCAATCACATGCCGAAGACCGAATCAGTCGATCAAGCAGGAAAGCTTAAAAGTGTACTCCTAACTGATTGCGCTTGCCCACTTTACGGGGCTGAAGTAGGGTTTTTATGGCAAACTTTTCATTTATTTTATACTTTAACGGGCGGTTCGGAGATTGCACACTCGAAAGGTGAGGAATTAGGCTTGCCTTTCTATCCACTTGATGGCTTCGCAACCTCCCTACTTGCATACCTGTCCGCTTACTTGCCTACCTGCCTGTCCATCTTTTTCCATTTATCCCATTTGTCCTGTCCATAGCTTCGTCTTCTGTTGTCTTGTCCCTCTTCTTGCTTACTATCTTTTTACTTTTAACCTCATCACCGTCACTTTCCTTTTCTCCTTTTTTTCCTAAATTCTCTTTTCCATATCTGTTTTACTTTTGTCTACTTATTCGTCTCTCCCTCTCGTTATCTCTGACTTTCTGTATCGTTTTATCTGATAATTCATTACCGTTAGCTTGTCCCTTCATAAATTATATGTTTACTAGGCCTCATACCAGGGCGACTATAGCTTTCCCAGATTTGTACCGGTTTCTGCTACGGCATCCAGCCATGCCCAGAGGGTTTAGCATTCCAGGGTTGATTTTGGCTATCAAAGGATCTTCAGAAGGGATGAGCTGTGCTACTGAACGTATTAGAAATAGCTGGAAATTCCATGATCAACGCCATTGCCAAGGCAATTGATTACAAGTTAATAGACAGTCATTAAAGCAGACAAAAGCAGATGCTTGATGCAAGCTCTGATAGGGTCAGGAAGAGGTGATGAGAAATGTGGGCTGGTATTGCCACAAAAGTTCTAACCGTCAGCCCATGGACCCTCAGGGATGCTCAAGTAGGGTTGTTCATTTGGATTGGTAGGTAAGCAAGTGAACAGCCAGAACAACATCGCCACAAGGTAATGTGCATGTTCAGAGAAATGGCCAAACTAGGCAACTCCGCGAATCAAGATTAAAATACGCACCAAGTCACCGAGTGAAGGGGTCAAATAAGGAAGAAAATGACAGATTTTCAGCTGTGCTCGACTGAGCCCTGGAGGACCTCTTCAATCGGAGGGTTAGGGGATGTTAGGGTGGATAGAGCTTCTATTTGCAGAGCACGTTCCCACATGTCTAAGACGATTTTTCATAGGAATTGTATGAATTATTTTTCGTATATAAGCAGAATTTCGAGACTACCAGTAAATCATTTATATAATATGTATTCTCCCTATTTCGTTTAAGGTGATAAAGGACTGGTAATAGAAAATCCCTACAATAATATGAGTAAAGATGACGTTTCTTTTGAATTTCACATAGCCTTGATTCCCCAAAAGTTGTTCTCATTCAGGGTTGATTTCAGTTCGATCTCGCCTAGGTCTTATCAACACCCCAAACGGGAGTCGAACCGTGACATTTCAGCATGTGAACTTGACATGGTTACCACTCAGCCACATTGCCACGAGTACCCTTGGATCAAAGGGCCGATGTGAACGTCATGAAATCACATAAATTGAGATAGTGAAGGTCAGTTAATCAACCATGCAACAGAAGTGATGATTAATACTGGCATAACTTTCATTACTTTTGCTAAGGCGATAGAAAGGAATTAATAAATTGGCCCCACCGAATACTTAAGGACTCGTGATTGTTGAAGTGTGCTAAGGTGACTTCGGCTCACCATCCTGCAACCTCGAGCCATCTGTGCTGTGCCTCTCTCCTTCATGTAATGGACAGAGTCAGAACCAAAAACCAAGAAAGGTGGTCGGCTGAAATTTTACTTACTTCATAGATCTCACTTGGTCGTCTTGATAAGACATTTTATGATTTGGTTGGTTGCTTTATGTAAGTAAACTAGCGCATGATACTGTAATCCTAAGGCGTGTTTTAACGTCGTGGATGAAATACTCATGAGTTAATCGGTAATTTTTAGCCCCAAACCAAGCTACAACTTAGTCAAGTCTTGTCTTACTCAGTGGCTCTTCCTGTTCCCTTTCATTCTCTCTCTCTATCCCTCTCTCTAATTATATTTAACATTCAGATATAGTTCTTACTTAGTTTACTACATTCGTTCCTCTTATTCAGGATGTTCTTTGTTTTGTTAATTTCGATTGACTATCTGATCTTCCGGTTAGCTGTGAAGTCCCCATATCCGGCAAAACATTGGGATATAGACCGGTCTATCTGGTGTCCTGTAGCGACCACATGTTCAGCCACTTCCGATTTCTGAATCCTTTTTTTGTTCCAAATTAATGGTTTCCTTTCATTCTATTTCTTAGTATTTTGAAATTGTTACCAATTAATACTAACGGATAATTGTTTTCAAATAAGATTTTTCTAAATGTTAGAGTACCTTTCATTCTATTTGAAGAGGCAAGTGGTCTTACCAAAAGGTGTAAGAAAATTGCTTTGTAGCTGTGATTATTGATACGTCCGAATATGTTTTCGGCGCACCGACCCGCGACCCCGATGAATCCTTTCTGAGCTTTCGTCCGTTATGTGATGGACGTCATCAGAGCAGGACACCATGCTTAATGATAATTCATCAAAAAGCCCGCCACCTTTCTTGCCTTCGTGTTTTTGGTGAAATATCGTTAAGCCTGGTGTTCTGCTCTGACGACGTCCTTCAGTTGACGGACGAAAGCTCGGAAAGGACTCATCGGGCTCACAGGGCGGTATGCCGATTACATATTCGGACATATCTACAATCTCAGCCCCCCAAGCTTCCGGTAAGACCTTCCACTCGCCTCTTCAAACGAAATAAAAGGTAAAAGGATTTTTAAAAGCCCAGTTTTCTACATACTTATGAAAATTTTTAGCCTTTATAATTCCCGATCCTGATGCTGTACATTCGCTAGAAAAAAATTTATTATTATCATTGATTTCATCATTCCTACTCCAACACCATAAGCATTATTCGAGAAGAAATTAAGAAAAAGACTTGCATTTGCGAGTTTCCTCTATACACTTCTACTCAGTTTGGTTCCTTCTTTAATATTTAGGACATATACAAAGGGTAATTTACAGCCCCTTTCCAACTCCATGGTGAATTTAGTTGCCCTATCGACTCTATTCATTAAACCAAGGAAGTCATCCACACACTTTTTCATGCGGCCAGATAGCAAAGTAATCATCCATAGTTTCGGAACTAGGAGTGACTCTTGAAAAAACCAGACTTCCAATTGAGCCACGTAGTTATTAGCTAAAACTCGAGACCAACACGATCCCGTAGCCTCCGGTTTGCTCGTACAATTTATCGTTAAAGATAAAATATGTACCATTCATTATTAAGTTCATAAATCTCATGATTGACTCACAGCTTATCTTATTTCCTAATACAATCTCTGGGTTTAGATCTAAGATTAATTCTAAGGCATGTTACCGATATATTCGTGTACATCGATATTACATCAAAACTGACAGACAAATCTTCGTGTTCTATTATTTGCTAATCTCTTAACTAAACGGAGTCATATGACTTCCCTATTAAAAACATCCAAAAATCTGAAATTTGCTTTAATTGATCACAGAGGAACCGTGATGTTTTATGTTCACCATCCTTACTGTTCGCAATGATACTAATTTGGATCCCCTTAGTGGATTTTGAGGAACCCATATGCAACAGGAATTCTAGCGTCGCGTGGAATAGGTGCATTCATTTTCCACATGTCTAATTATCAACTACAAACACACACATATATATATATATATATATGATTATGGGCAAATTTGTTTGAATTAGAAATTCATATAAGTACCGTCAACTCCAAGCTTAACAACTCCAACCTTTCCGCCCCAAGGTGCATTTTCCCCGAACCATTTGTCTATGACTGTTGGTCACTTTCTACCTCCCCAAGGAGACAGGCACAAACCTGTTTCCCTCCCCAAACTGGCCATATCCATCATCTTGAGGCACGGAAGCCTGTGTCCAGGTGAAACTAAACTGCACTAAGATTCATTAACGTCGTGTCTCGTTCTGTTTAATCAATATAGCTTAGGTTGTCACGAGCTTTTTCATGAACTTTCAAGG